TTGCAGATCACCTTACCAACTCTGACACAGAATCTAAATCAAACAATACGGAAGATAACTCGTTTTCAAATCCCCCATCCTGCTGACTAAACTTACTTCCACGTAAGAAGGAGCTGAATCAAAAGGAAGCTTCCTGGCCGTAAGTAGTGACCATACTTTTCATTTCCTTTGAGCTAATCAGACATGGCTGACAGGAAAGAGGGCTTGAGTCTGGGAGCTATTTTCTCTTTTTCTCTATTTTTAGATTTTGGTTCCAAGACTGATGGTGGAGACTGACCAGACACTAGGGGGATCTTTCCAGTGACAGAATAAAAACCTATGCTCCTTTCACTAACACCATTTTCTAATGGGCTCCTGCCAGTGTGCAAACCTCGTGGTCACAGAGCAAAGTAAATGTGTCAACAGTCTTTTTAAGGTTCACTGAAAAGCACACTGAAAGGTGTGAAGAAGGCAGATATGAGAGAGGGTGAATAGAAACCTGGAGATGCCAAGTAGATCACCTAATGGTAAAGCATCCTTATTCGAGAAACTCAGATCACACGGGGCTTCATTATGTTTCAGTACTCACTCAATGAACACTTAGCAAGGGTGCCTGCACTAGGCACTGTGCCAGGGCTGTGGGGGTGGGTGAGCCTTACCACCTCAAAGGAGGGACAGAGGGACAATCATGAAAGTTCAGAGGAAGAGAGATGACTTTCCTGGAGAAATCTGGGAAAGGCTGTAAGAAAGGATTAGCACTTAGAGGTATGAAGAATACATGAGAATCCATAAATTTGTTTTCAGTGTCTGTGAGAAAGGGCAAAGGGTGGAGGGCGGTATAAATTGGGAGTTTGGGATTAGCAGATACAAACTATTATTTACAGAATAGATAAACAAGGTCCTATTATATAGCACAGGGAACTAATTTCAAGAATTTGTAACAACCTAGACTGAAAAAGAATATGAAAAATATAGATATATGTATAATTGAATCACTATGCTGTACACCAGAAACTAACACAACACTGTAAATCAATCATAATCCAATTTTTAAAAAGTAAAAATTAAAGTAAGATAAAGAATACGTAAGAACCTAACGTGAGACGAGAGGAGGGCAACAAAAGTGGATCGATTACCATTCCAACTGGAGTTCACTGAATAGACACAGCCTTACTCCAGTTATGACTCCATTCCATACTAGACTCCTGTCCTGCTGCCTGGCCTCTCTTCACTCTGATCCACATCCTACACTATCAGGACTGCCTCCAACAACAAGTTTCAACGTATCTCCTTTATAGACTTAATGAGGTTGAAGCTTAGCATTCCCTAGTTTCCCACAATCCAATACCAGCTTTCCCTTTCCAATTTCATAAGCCTCTAGGTTCTTTTAGGACATATCCAAGACACTACACGCCTCTTCGGGCTCTAGTACAGCCACAGTGGGGATCACACATGCCCCTGCAAACACTTTCCTTCTTTCTTGGGTCAGCCTGGCTCCCATTTCTACAGGATCCACTCATTCACTGGATGCTCACTGACTGAGCCCCAGTGCACGTCGGGCACCAAGCCAGGCACTGAGGTCCAGACACAAAATCCTAAATCACTGATAGTAAGTATTACTCACGATACGTATTTTACTAGCAGATTTTTAACAAAGTTATAGAATTAGCTAATTCAGACTATATAACCATAAAATTATTCAACATATTAAAACTTAAATAAAAGTATAGAAAAATAAGCTAACAGTCATGCATGTTATCAATAACCCCCTCACTTAACAGATGTTAACATTTTTTGTCATGTTTGCTCCAAACGGTAATCTTAAATAAAATGTTACAGATTTGGCCAAAGCCTAATTCCTGATAGCTTCCTCCTCCCCTTCCTTTCTAGAAGTACCACTATCTTAAATTGACGTCATTCCAAAATAGTTTTTATACTTTTATTAGACATGTACTGAATCATAAATAATTTCACACACTGTTTAAATTCAGTATTGGGTATATTTTGAAATGTTCATAATGATAACCACCTATGTAACATAGTTTTCACTTGTCTATTTTGCAAAGGTGTCCATGTTGACACATGTAGTTATTCAATTTTAACTGCTCTTGAGTTTACTTATCCACAGTTCATTTCCCATTTCTATACTGATTCTAGTTTTTTACTTTTGTAAATAATGGTACAATAAGCATCTTTGTACCTCTCTTCCTGTGCACACCTGTCAGACTTTCTACAATGACATCAAGTTCTTTAAGTTTTAAATTCTACTCTCCTGCCTGCTGATTCTCACTCATCGTTGAGTTTTTTCAACTTGAGTTTTTATTATCTGATTGTGAGTTCATCTTTGGTGATGTTAGTTTCTCACCTGGGGATTCCTGAATAATGCAGACAGTTACATTCGGGCTTCAGACCCACATGTGGTGCACACTGAGGGTTGTCCTTTGAGGGTCATGGCTTAACGCGGTGTTCCTAAGTTCAAGTGTACCACCATGAACACACAAAGCCTCATACTTCGGTCCCTGCAGGTGTATTAAACCTAAGACTAGTGCTTTTTGGGGCTTCACTGGGTCAGGGCCTCCAGCCCTGGCAGCTCAAATGCTTCTGGCTCCGGCTTTCGGTTCTCTATCTCTAGTATCTAGGGATTTTCCTTTCTCCTTTGCCATTTCCTCCAAGTACTGACTTGTATTATTGATATATCAAGTATTTCTAGGAGTTTATTAAGAAAAGTTTTATGTTAGTTTAGTTGGCTAAACTGTCAGAATGAAAGTCCTAACTGAAATCTTTAAAACTTGATTTAATTTTTCTAATAATACAAAATTATATTTGAAAAAAATCTTTTGGAAATATACAATACTGCATTAAGTTTGTGAATTGCTTTTTATGGTGCTAAAGATATCGATAACCTTTAAAAAATACTGAATAAAATTAAAACAAATTTTTGTTTTGACAATTTTAACATCCTTGATAAATTATATAATTGAGTAGCACAAAGCTAGAGTTAGAAATTTTTGATTTATAATTTTACAGATTGCTTATAATTTCTCTTCCTAGAAAAAAAACCTGCCTGGATATTTTTTAAATGATCACATAGTTTGATATCTGTGTTTAAAATGTTTCTTGATCTTATTTGTTATGTTTTATGCCTTACTAAACATACAAAACTAAAATATGCACAACTGTTAAGAGTCAGAGATAAAAAAAAATTCATGAGAATACAACTTATCTGTCTCCTGTTTTAAATGCATAGCAACCAGCTGGGAAAGAGAAACTACAGACAGCATTCTATTCACCAAGAAGGACTTTTTGGCTACAAGTAACAGAAGATACTGAGAAGCAGAACAATTATGATGTTAGGAACAATGGAGAGACAAGTTACTATGGGCACATACCTACTCAGGAGTAAACAAACCAGGCTTAAAAGTGCAAGCAACAGAAGTATTTTATGGTAGGCTTCACTGGAATATGTAAATACTAAGAAAGGAGCCTCCAGATTGGATAAGCAGTGATTTCACCATTTGGAGCGTGTGGCAATAATTTATGTAGTAATGATGTTTTAAAACAGCAGAAGAGGCTATTTAAATATAAAACAATCCTTGTGATTAAATGTGTGTTTTCAGTAATATACTAGCTTTGTATTTACTATATTTGACTGTACAATTACCTCACATAGTATTTTGTATAGTACTTTTACAGAGGTCTGGAAAAACCCAAGGTAAACTGAAGGTATTTTTAGAAGCTGGCTAAATGTTTTCACATAGAAATATTTCTTAGTTAAAAAAAATATATATATATATACACACACATATATACACATATACGAGGTTTTCAAAGCCAATCAGCTTTACCAACTAACTAGCAATAACTAGCAATTAATTGTGAAAAACATCCATTAACCATGTCTACATTTAAGAAATCAAATCTCTAAAGGCAGTATAGGAGCTTTTGCTAGAGAAGCTTACCAGTGCCATCCATACAGAACGTTTCTGGCACAGGATTGAAGGTTAATACCACAAGAGGTTTCTCAAAATTAGAATAAATTGACATTTTTGTCAAATTCAGGAAGGCAGGTTAACAGTGACAACACTAGAAAGATCATTCACTGCATCTAGGACAACTTAATATGGCCTGTGACTGCAAGACCTGTAAGAAGATCGAGCCATTGGCCCTGTACCTGGTGCTGGCGATGCTGGGTGATTCTGCTCCAAGCCTACATCTTTCTAGCTGACTGGCCACAATCTGCCTTTCCACCTCCAGTTCTCGGGTGAGTCGCTGAAACTGAAGCTCCTGTGAGTCAAGGAAATAAAAGGCATATAAGGCACCAAGTTTGCTCAGGCAGATGCATAATTCATGTATGTCACAGGAAACACAGGAACATACCCATAACACAACGTTATAGTGTGGCCTTATGAAATTGGGGTTTTGGGTAGAATTGCCGGCCAAAACAACCTACTAATTTATAGCTTTTACAAAGTCAAAGGCACTAGAATATGTGCCTTTGTTTGGAGCTGGAAACATGTAGATCTTTATTTGGCCTTTTTTGGGGGGTGAGGTTCGAATTGAACCTTCAAATGGTACTTTTGCTAGTGACATATTAGATGTAAGGTTTGCAGAGTCCTTACTTGCTGTGCCTGCATTAGAGGCACACCAGCCAATACAAACTCTTCACCCTCAGCAGCTAATTTTTACATCCCTCATGCTGTGCACTAGCACAGCGTTAAAAACAACTGCCACAACAAGACTCACTTGACCGTGTTTGATACAGAGCCTTTTAATTGTTATGAAAAAAAAAAGCACAATCCCACAGAAAAAGTCTTGCTATATTTATCTACAATACAAATTTTTTCTACTGTCACAAATGCATTCATGTGTCACAATATGAAGGGAAAGGAGAAAAAAATAATGAAAAAGTCTGAGCCATAATACAGAATTTAAAATTGTATTAAAAAGCTAGAAAGACTGTCTAAGGAAATTATATTCTTCATTCTATGATGCACTATGAAGGCAAAGAAGTTCTATTCTAGGAGATGTTTTAACATTATTTGTACTTATCTCGTTGATACCTTGACAGGATTTTAACAGGAAGTATGCGATGCTACAAAATATCTACAAATCAAATCAAGTATACTCTGAAGGTGCTAAGCCACAAGTGACATCCCCAGTAACACCCCCAGCTCCCTTGTGCCGCAGTAACTCCTCACAAGTCTACTCAAAGCAAATGCTGAACTGTAAGCAGTTTAACTGGACAATGGCTGCGAGTTCAAAATACCCGGCAGATGAACCCTATGCCTAGAAACTACCCTTAGAAAAGTTTTCAGAAATAAAACGACCTTAGTTTTGTTTATAATTATAATATTATTGACAATATATTTATGACAATGTCTATTTGCTTGCCATGGAAAAATAAAAACAATTTAATTAAAAAGTGTACTAACTCCCTGTGGAATCAGGCAAATGTGCAATTACTTGACAGCACTGGCTGTGCAAATTCTACAAACTATTTTTAGAATAATTCTTAAGAAATAGTCCCTGAAGTCCTTATTGCTTCCTGACATTGAGAATCCTTTTCTAGAGAGCCCAACTGGAGTGAGTGTAGAGGGCAGGGCCTGAATCAAAAACAGCTGGCTCAATAACACTGCACAACAGGACCATAATCTGTGAGTGGGATGTTGCCTACCTCTGCTTAACAATTCCTAGGCCACAGGCTTTTAATAAATGTTCAACAACAAAAGATGAGATCAGCTATATCTGTGCAACACTTGGTAACAGGGTAAGATAATTATTTTAAGGACAAATAGTATGGTTACTTCACATTTAGTCTTTCTTTGCCCTTAAACAGTATCATATTTTTTGTGATACACTTCTATTCTTTCCATTATTTTGCTCAATTGTTTATTATATACCTCTTTTCCCAGAAGAATGGCTGCTTGTATCAAGCTAGCCCAGGAAAGGAAATATTCCCCAAGCTATCAAGTTACTTTTCTCAGTTCTGTGGCTATTAGGGATTGAGGGCTCAAGTGTTTTCTTCATTTTGGGATGGCCAAAATTTACCAATGTAGGATTAAGGCACATTTCAAATTAGAACGTGAAAACAATTTCCAATAATAGAAAAAAAATTCTATTTTAGTGGATTTTTATCATGCTTACAGCTGCCTATGGCCATTTGAGCATCCTTACAAAGAAATGGGGGATTTCCTGCTTGAAGGCAGAAGTCAATATTTACTGTCCCACAATTCCTTCCCTCAGAAGAAGAGACAGGTGACTGGCTCCACCAAGAAGATGCTCGACAGTGACTCAGATGCTGAATCCAAGACGCTGACATCAGAAAACATGAAGCTCGTTTTCTCTCTTTCTTCTCCCTTTCTTCTACTCCCCTACAGTAGGATTCAAGGTCAAGTTTCTAACATGGAAAGGACCTGCACACAAACGATGTTTATGCTTGGTGGCAGTGGTAGTGGCAGTGTTTTCTTTACTTGATCTGACACAGTTCCTGGAAGCTTGGTCTCAAGTCTTGTTCTCCAGTTCTTGCAACAGTTGTGGGAATTCACCTATAATCACTTAATAAACACTTTTCTTCTTTCATCATGATCCATCTGTTTCTTGCAACTAGAAACGTTGACCAACACATGTAGAAACCATTTATGGTTGTCAAGTTGCTAGAAGAGCCTATGTACCCACGATGCAGCTACATTTTCTTAGAAGTTGGACTATTCCTTCCACATTCATGTGGACCGAGTAAAGGCCACACTGTATCCCTCCTGGCTGTGGAGCCCATAATACTGAACATCACTGGCTGCTTTTATCAAACCATTCTATCCTTTGTTTGCCCACACTTTCCACAAGTAGGACATCATCAAAGCCCTCAAAGCAGACAGTCAGGAAGCTAATTTGTAATGGTTACCTAATACCTGTGAATATTTACAAGTAACATATATGTATGCTTTGTTGTAAAATTATGAATATTACATCTACAGAATATAATTTGAACTCCCACATGTGACTGGCACCAAGATGGATGAGTAGGATATAAAGATTTAACAATTCTGTCTCTACTGGTTTCTTTGATGTGGAAGATAGCATTACACAGTCATATAAAAACACATGTAATGATTTCCAAAATCACACTCATTAAGATGATTATGCTGAGATACCACCTATAAATTTTACATTTCAATATTTTATCCTCTAAACATAGAGTGTGAAGGCTGATTCTTACATAGGTATCTAAAACTGGACATCTAAATTATAGGGGAGTCCTTTGAGAAGAACAAGGAAATCATGCTAAAACTGCCCATGATTTGGTAGCTGACAATTTCCTCCTAAATTCTGTCCAACAAGACCATAAAGAAACTTAGAAAGCCAAAGCTACTAACATGCCATAGAAATGGAGTCAGTTTGGGGGGACAGTATGCTCAATGGTAGAGCACGTGCTTAGCATGCACGAGATTCTGGGTTCAATCCCCAGCACCTCCATTAAAAAAAAATCTAATTACCCACCTAAATAAAAACTAAATTAAAAAAAAATGGAGTCAGTTCACATGTGTTTGGAAGCTTTTCTTTATATTGACCTCATCTCTCTCAGGTAAGTATAAATATTCTCTGAAAGTCAAGGTAACAGAAGAACACAAAGATTCACTTTCATGAACTTGGATGGCAACCAGAGATGCACGGTCTGAGACGGCCCAAAGAAGGACTTGCCGCCCCAGTAGTCAGTGCCTTCAGGGGCGCTCCAGTGGCAGAGAACCTCCTTGCCCAAGGGCATGCCCTTCTGGGTGTACTGCATCCAGCTGCCGATTGAGAGGAGCCCAGATTTGCTCCAGAGCTTCCTGTGGGCTTGATCGGCCTACATGGTATTCAGACTTCTCCCCTGCCCAGGCCTGCCTCTCCCCACCCTCTCCTCCACACATGCTGGTCTGTAATAAACACCCTGCATGCAAGACTCCCCTTCCATGAGAACTCACCCTTAGACAGTACTGGTTTTTTGGCTTCCTTTTATAGGATAGAATTTTTTTCTCACTCCCATATCGTGAGATTCTTTAAATGTACAGAAAAACTACAGATAGTAACATAATGAGTTTTGCTGAACCCCACCCAGCTCGAGCAAATCTTACTATTTTGCTACATTTGCTTTAGGTTTTCTGAGAGAGAGAACACAGATACAATGAAGCCCGTGGTTCTCTTTCCTGGGTTCTATTTTTCTCTCTTCCTCCCTCCCCAGATGAAACCATTACCCTGAATTTGGTGTTTAATACTCACATGAATATTTTATATTACTACTACTCCATATATACATATATATATACAGAGTATATATATATACGGAGTATATATATGTATATATATACAATATATACATAATATATATTGCTTTGCATATTCATACAATTTATATTAATAGTATACTACACCCAGTCTTCTGCAGATTGCTTTTATTGTAATACGATTTTGAGATTTAGCAATACCAGGACACATAGATCTAGTTCATTTCCATTGCCCAATAGTATGCTATTGTATGACTCCAGCACAATATATCTGTATGTTCTCATCATGATGAGCCCTTGAGTTGTTTACAATTTTGTGCAATTATAAGAATGCTGCAAAATAAGCAGCCTGTATAAATCACTTTGTGCACATGTGCCAGACCTCTCCAGTAGAGATGGAGAAGTGGAACTACTGGATTGAAGGCTATGCTCATCGTCAACTTGATAATGGTTCTCAAACTACTTTCCAAAGTAGTTGTACCAATTTATAATCCAGTCAGTAGCGCACGTGAGTTTCAGTTTCTGTATATTTTCACTGATACTGACTTGCATTTTGGGGCTTAAATTTCTTCCTTCCCTCCTTCCTTCTCCCTTCCCGTAATCAGATAGGCATAGGATGCTATCTTGCATTCATTTTATTTTGTATTTCCCTGCTAACCAGTATCTTTTCATGTTTATTGGCCATTTAGGTTTTTAATCTCATAGATATGATAAACTCTCAGGGGGAGACGCTTCCCCTAGGGCTACCAGCACCCAACCCTGTCCTCTTCTGTGGGACAGGTTTCCCAATATCCTTACACTAATGTTGTAGCTTTGCAACCTTTGAGGTTTAGGCAAGGGATCTCGCAGAGTCCTCGCCTTGGGCAGCCCTCAGAGGGCATGCAGCATGTGCTGGCAGACGGCCCCTCTGCGTCCCCTAGGCCTGCCACGTACCTTCAAGGTGGAAGCCAGCTTTACTGCTTGCTTAGCTTAGGAGACTGTCTTTCTTGTTGGTTTTCGTTTCTGTGAATACTTTCTTGCCAGCTCAGCCTTGCTTCTAAAAAAACGACTTAAATACTTTATTCAGCATATTTAATTTCTTTCAGAGGAAAGACTGGTTAGGGTATTGAATATGCCAGCAATGGGGCGTCTCCACAGCTTTTTCATATTTTCTCTTAATTTCTCTCAGCTACTTTCAGGGAGAGTTTCTCAGTATTTCCTTCGGTTCACTATTTCTCTGTTTGCCTCCTTAAGGGTTTACCTCATCTATTTTACTTTTCTCCAATGACAGTATTTTCTGAGACTTCTAGTTGGTCCTTTTTCATATCCATCTGTTCCTGCTGCTCATTTGGAGTGAAACCTCTTATTTCTCCCTTCCTATCTAGGTTTACCTTTACCTCAACTCCAGGTACCTCAGCCCTAAATGAGGCTTTAAATTGGTGACTCCGTGTTCCTTTCAAACAGAAGTAATACTACATACACATCAAGTCACGAGGCGCCTGTCTCCTGCCGCTGGCTTCCAGAAGCCCTGGGAAGCTTTCAGCACTAGGTACTTCCTCTCCCATCTCCTCCAATAAGCAGGAAGAGCACCACTCCAGACCCCGGCTTCAAGGACTCTGGGGTAGCACTGAAAACAGGGCAGACTTCACTTCACCCTCTTGTGGCCTGGTCTCTCTCACCCTCATTAAATCCTCACTGACGGCCAGCAGTGACCTATCTCCTGACCCTTTCCAATTGTGCCCAATTAAAGCCTCATTCCAGTTTCCAAATTCTCAGAATACTCTCCATCTCTGGGTTACTAAGACGACTCTCCACCTACAGGCTTTAATTGTAATGTAGTTCTTTCCTGAAAATATTGCTTTTTCTGACTGCACTCTGGTAAGGACTATGCATTCTGCACACAACACACCTGAGATGCCACAGAGCAGGGAGCTGGCCTTCTCCTGGCTCCTCAGAACCTCTACTTACGAGTGGGAAGTTGTGTACAATATTCTTCATTCTTCTCCTGTCAGTACAATCTGTAATCATACTGCCTCCTACGTCTTTGACATTAATAAGCCATGTTCTTTTTTTCCTAATTGGTAGAGACCATTACTCTTCCAAACATGTGCAAAAGCTCCCTGTGCTTTGGGGCTCGTGCCATCCAACCATAGGTGCCCACCTGTATCACTAGCACCTATTTACTCCAAGTTGTTCTAACTGATTCACTAACTCAGGAGTGGCTACAAGAGTCACCACCGCCATGATGGTAGCCATTAAGAAAGAGCAGTAGGCATTCCTATCAGGCCATCAGCAATGACACACTCAGCCTCCTGTCCCCACATTCTCACTAATTCTCAGTTCCCTTCCAGACGTGGTGGAGGCAGTGTTCCTTCTGGTCTAAGGTCAGCCCCTCCACGCTGTCTTGCCTCTTCCAGGATCTTGCTTCTCTTTCTTGAATTGTCAGTTTCCACTCAGTTTAATGCTCAAATCTTTCTCATCAGGATCTCAGGACTTCTTGATCTCAGTACTCCTCAATCTCTGTTTTCTTCCCTAGTTGACCTATACTACCTTCTATTAAATATTTATCTTTAAATTGACTCCTTTTTAAGATAGTGTCTTCCCAGTATTAAAATCATTGAAATCCTGGCTTCTAAGGCTTCTGTATAATTTTCTTAACATAAATTGAAATACATAGTTTTTAAAGACGTTCTTCTGTGTACTACAAATCAATTTACATCAGCAGTACATGACACCAGGCGTCAACATACCTTTCCCTGTCTATTCATCTCAGTGGGAAAGTTCTGAGTACTGGTTATACCGAAGAAAATAAACTGACATGGTCATTATTTGATGCAATCAGTACTTAACTAAGGAAGCATTCTTATTTCAATCATTGTTGCTTAACAATCTTCCAATAAATAATTTACGTTTCAAATTTAGTATGGTGAAAGAGTTTCATATCACTAAAAGATCAAATATCACTGAATGATAATGTCAGATTTTTAAGGTTCAGAAGATTTGACAGCATATGTCCTATCTAAGGACGTACTACAGCATTTTTTTTCTCTTTCCCATGTTTAAAAGATGAGTAAATTATGGCCATGATCATATCTTTGAAGCTCTTAAATCAGGCCTAGGGAACTATTTTAAAAATGAATATTTAAGAGCTAATAAGAAATCCACAAAACATCCCAAATACCATTCCTTAATTTAGGCTGATACCAAAACCAAAGCAGTCATATTTTCAAAGGGTCCTTGAAAATTCTCAACCTTAAAATAACCACCCTATAGTGCAGAGGTGATCAAATGTCCTGATCGTCTATCACAGTTTACTTAATAACTGACAAGTCATTATTAAGTCTCCTAGGTAGTTGATAAAAATCAAGCACAATTAATTATGGAAATGCTAAGCATATGATGTCTATCCCCTTTGCAATGACTAGATCCCTTTGTTAAAAACAAACACTGCCTTTCTCAACCAAACCACATTCTGAGAACATCAGTGTCCCCACTGTCCCCCAGGTCTGCCCTTAAAGGAAAGGGTTCAAATCTTCAAGTCAGTTTGAAAAATGCTGCCCAGACAATTCCAAGTCTTGGGGGTTCGCAGTGACAATAGCATATTAAAAGTTCTGAGCTGTCTACCAGTAGGAAATTGGCTCACTTTGCATAACCTAGCAATTCTTTGACTTCTTGAAACTACACACACTTTTCCTTTTCCAAGGAGTAACTATTAACATCTCAAGAAATAATACTGTCTTGCAGAACACAACTTAGGCAACACTGAAAAATTCAGCTCATTCTTATTGTATTCAGGGATGCTTGAACTAAGAGGTACTACCTTGTATTGCAAATTAAAAATATCTTACACTGGGAAACAGAATTTTAATTCCTTTTATCCAGGATGAATATTTACAAAGGGAAGGTCACCACAAAGGGTTAACCTTCAAATGGAAACTCCTGACTTCATGCCACTCTGAAGACAGGAAGGGGACACATCATTAGGATGCTTCTGCTGCGTTAGTTGCCCCTCACTGCTTATGTTTAGACTGTCTTTAAGATAAAAGAAAATATAAGACACAACCACCAATCTGATTTTTTGTTATACTAGCTAACATTCTAACAGGAGATGAGATGATCAACATTCAGATCTTTGGTGTTTTATCCTACTATCAAACCACACAAGAATATACCAAGTTCTAGCTTTGATATCTATCCTCCAGTTTTAATGAAGCAGAGAGAAAACAGCAGAGCTTACCAGATGCTCTAAATTTATATTCTGAAGCTCAGGTTCTTATCTGTAACTCTGTCACCAAAGCTCCTTTATGAGGACATCAAAATAAAGGAAGAGGTTTACATTAAAGCTCACTAATGAAAGCTTTGCTTAGAGCCACATGCGGCTAAGAAGACCAAGGCATCGAGGTAAAAGCTCTTTCCATGGCACCACTGACGGCTTCATAAAACCTTATCTACTCAACAGTAACTCATTGCCGTGGCTCTTTAATCTCTCACCTGGTGATCTCTGACCACTGCACGGGTCTATGTACACCAGTGATGTCCAAATCCACCATCTTGAGTCAGACTCAAACTGATGTTTTCAATGGTGATGAGCTAACAGCTCTTCCTGGAGGATGAGCCAAGCCCACACCCACCTCTCCGGCCTGTGTTTTCTATTTCTCCACTGCAGTGGTTCTCACAGTACCGGCCCTGAACCAACAGGATCAGCATCACCTGGAAACTTCTCTGAATCAGGAGTCAGGTCCAACCACTTGTGCTTGAACAGGTCCTCCAGGAGGGTCTCATGCATACAAAAGTTTCAGAAGCACAGACTTAATGGAACCACCATTCCTCTTTTACTCAGGCTCAAACTCCAAGTGTTTTAACCTTTCCACCATTTCCTCCCTTTCTCTTACTTAATTCCCCAGTCCTCATATATTAAATGGTTTCCCGAATCTTGTCACTCAACCTACCACTGTTGAATCCATTTCCTCCCTCGCCATTCCTGCCAGTGCTACCTGTGGATGACTGCAGTAACCCCACGCTGTCTTCTCCCCACCATGGTGGTGAGGGGCCTTGCCTTTGTTTTTCACGTTTCTTCCAGATAAATCTGTTGAGGGCGTAATACTACTCATCAATAATCTCTATCCTTTACTGCGTGTTTACTGGGTTCCCGGCTCACTGCTAACTGCTTGATATGCTTTACTTTGTCAACTCCCTAGTCAGCCTGCAAGGTATCAAGGTTTACCCTCATTCGTAGAGGGCTGATTTCCCTGAAGTCATTCAAAACTAGGATTTGAAATCACAACAGTCAGACTCCTAACTCCATGGTGTTGACACTGTGTACCACGCCCTTCCCACCCAACCTGTAATACAACTTATAAACAGCCAACTGCAGTCTGCCCCCCGAGTACCTTTTTTTCGGTCTCCTGCCACTCCTCTTCATGACCCTGGATAGAACAATTCAGGATTTCCTACACACATCACTCAAAGCATCTTCTCACACTGCTCCATCCACCTGAAATACAACCCTCCTGTGGGCCTATAGTCCTCTACCCAGCCCTTGGGTCAAGTACTTGGCCATCACACCTGCTCGATTTACTAGGCTGAATTCTTCTTATAGAAAAGTGAAATCTGTATTTCATCCATCAAGCTCCCTGCAAAACCTAGACAAGAAAACCCTGCTAATTCATTCAGGGTGAATTTTACGTGGTACATTTTATTTAGTATGTTATAATTGGTTACATACATTCTTAAATTTATTGATTATTAAGTATTTTTATATAAAGACAGGCATAATATATTATGGCTGATCCTTTATGAAACTCTTAGAGCATTTCAAACATAATAATAATCATATCCTTATAATGTAGGTAAAAGAAATTAGAAAAATCAGTGGTACAAAAGAGTTTTCTACTTTTATTTAAAGTCACAGAGAGATATGAAGGCAGAGCTAGGATAAGAACCTAGGTTCCCCCAAATTTTGTTCTTTTAACAAGTTAGCTCTATCAGGAATTTCATATTATTCATGGTGGCAGGGATAAATAAGGCGTTTTTTTTTTAAGAAAAATAATACTGTGCATAATTTCAGTGGCAGAGTGGCTTCATGCTGTTAACATGACTTACTCCATGTCACTGCGTCCCCTCCCCTCAACTGCTTATACCTGTTTCCATCTGCCAAGTTCCCTGCTCTCTCAGGCATCGTAACCCGCCTCTCAGAAAATCAGGAGTTCCCCAACCTTGGTATGCTGTTCTTGAAAACCTGTCCACCAGTCCACTGACACTTTAAATTATTAAACTAGAAATGTCTTCTTTTATTTTCATTTACCTTCTTCTCTCCTAAACAATGAATATGTGTGTGTATGAATAAGTGTGTGTAAATGAAAATAATGCTAGTTAAGTCTTCTGTTAGTTGACGTTTTACTAATTTATGTTTACTAGTAGTCAAATAAATATTCAGTAAAAGAGCCACAACATGAAAAATGGGTTCTGGGAGCCAGGGCTAGTTGTAGTTGTCAGCGACAAGTCTTACTGTCATTTCCCAACAAAGCAGGTATTTGGTAAAATTAATGTCAAAAACACAAGGTGGTTTTCCTTAAAATGCAATGTCTTAA